AGATAGTTTTAAAAATGTTGGAGGAGAACATTGCTTTAGAAAGTCAAATAAGGCTAGGATCAAGTTCATGGATAACTATATTGATATGTGCAATCTTGTATTATGTATATTGATAAGGCTTTTTGGCTACTAATGTGCAAGTCTAAATCGAGTTTGCAATTGCAGTTGAACATAGTCATCTCAAGAATTTTTGTTAGCCGCATTGAGATCTTGTGTTTATGGTGAAGCTAAGCACTATGAGATTAGTGAAATATATTTACTTGTCCAGCCTTGTTTTGAATTTTTTTTTTTTTTAAATTATCTTGGCTGTTGTTAGGATGACTTTACTTTAGAGTTCATATTGTGCTACAAGCGTTTAATTTTAATTATATAATACATTTATGTAGGATATTATTGCTCGATTTGGTAAGCAAGAGGCAATGCCTAAAGACTTCTTTACAGATTTTGTGAAGGTGGCACAAGATGAAGGGCGACACTTCACTCTTCTTGCTGCTCGTCTTGAGGAGCTAGGTTCTTATTATGGATCATTACCGGCCCATGATGGCCTTTGGGACTCAGCCATGGCAACTTCCAAGCATTTATTGGCACGCTTAGCTGTTGAACATTGTGTTCATGAGGTATGTCTGCAGGACCTCCAAAGTGTGTGAGGTGAGAGGTGCAATGGTGGCGGATTAACTTAGGGGTTGTAACTAGGGTCTGCTGGAGAAGCTAGCAAACAAACTAGAAGTTAAATTAGAGGAGTTAGAACATTTAAGTCAAAAGGAAGAGAGAGAGTAAAAAGTTTGAGTTTAACATCAGTTGCCCACATTGAGAAAGTTGAGACTGAGTCCAACGGGATAGTGAAGATATTGGAGGATATAAATCTAGCAAAAATAGGAGAAGGAAGTGATGAAATAAATCAATCTGAACCTAATAGTTTTGATTCAGATAACTAACTTAATATTGACAGGCTTTTAGATTGTTCTTCTATGTGTCTTCAGATAATTTTTTAAACTTGAGTTATGCATTTTATCATTTATCGATAGCTTATGATTGACTTTTTATGTATAAAGGTTTCTCAATTTATATTTATCTATTTTTTATTGTCTATGCTCTATAAATAATATTTTTTAATTGTTGTGCCTAGCTTCATTTGGGCGAGTACCTTTTCTGCGCCTTTGGGCATGTTTGAGTTCTTGTGCCGTGAGTGCCCCTTTCGCCCTTGACAACCTTGGTCCTGTCTGCCATTAATTTAAGACCTCTCTAAAAGACCTATTAGGCTTGTACATAGAGCATATTCTCCAATCACAGTTATTCCTGCCACACATATAGTTCTGCTCGTTTTGAGTATGTGAGTGGTGGGGGGGGGGGGGGGGAAGATTTTAATATCTCATAAGGCATTTGTGATGAACTGAATGTAATAAACATGTTAAAGTTGATGAACTTGACGTGAATGTCAAACTTTCCGTGTTTGCATCCTTAAATGATGTTTGGTTGTAGAAGGTTTTCGGCTACAGGGGCATTGGAATTACAGCTCCCCCCCCCCCCCCCTCCTTGTTTTGGTACAGAAATTACAGCTTTTTTAGTTCCTCAGGAGTGAATGTTCTCAGATTGTGTTTTTAGTTCCTCAGGATTGAAGGAAAATAGAAGCTTGGTGCCACTGCTGTAGCTATAATCTGACTTATATTATTGACGCAGGCTAGAGGACTTGATGTACTGCCTACAACGATCTTGCGATTCCGCAATGGTGGTGATGACATTACAGCCGATTTACTGGAAACTGTGATTTACCCAGAAGAGATTAACCATTGCGCTGCTGGAGTGAAATGGTTCAAGTATCTCTGCCGCAGATATAGGAATCCGGCCACTGAAGAAGGTCGAGAAATAATCGATGCAGAAGAAAGTGATACCACAGCAGATGAGAGGCAAGTGATTCAAGAGTTTCATGACACAGTGAGAAAGTATTTCAGAGGACCTTTAAAACCACCTTTCAATGAGGAGGCAAGAAAAGCTGCTGGATTTGGTCCAGATTGGTATGAACCTCTTGCTTCAAAAGAAATAAATTCATGATAAGGATAGTTCTGTTATTTGTTACAAACGTCATCGCTGTAAAAGAAATGTTAGTTCCTTCGTTGGAAGATCTTAATGGGAAAGCTGCATCACCTTAATTTGTTTAGATATTTAATATATCAAAATGGCGTTAAATTTGTAAATTATCCTTTAGCAGTGAATAATTCAAGCCTGGTTCGTTTAACCTGATGGATCGATGGGCCAATCCTTTTCTCATTAATATTTGTTTGGGCAGCTGAGAAGGTTAATGTCTGGTCTCTATCCTGCATTCACTCCGACTTACACATGAAAAGAGCTCATTTGCCTATGAGGTTATGTTGATAAATACTCAATCGCTGTCCCCATTATAGCATCCATCTACCTATGCTTTTCTTACGCTGTTATGTCGGTTGTCCTCGAGTCTTTAAATTTTAAAAGGTTAAAAAGAGAGTACGGTTTATTTTATAAACTTCAATTTGGTTTATTTTAACATTTAATGCATTTTTTTAAACATTATCCTTAATTATTTTTCTCGTATCGTGTTTTTTTCACACATTCTTTTTTTTTCATTTATTATAAGAATATATTTGGAGACAAAAATATATTTCTAATCTGTTTATTATTTTAACTAATTTTAAGTAATTGTTCTTTGTGAATTGGTTATTTAAAGCTCATAAGGACTGTAGGGAGTACTTTTTATGTTACCTGACTCATAACTTACAAAAGTAGACACTAACAAAGGATTGAATAGAAATTTTAATGCTCTCTTTAATAAAGGTAAAAATGAAAGATTTTTTTTTTTTTAATTTAATGCTATATTGTTACGCAAGAAATTCCTAAAAGTGAGATGATTGTGTTATGCTACAGTTGGTATCTGGAGGATTGTATCCTTCATTAATGTATTTGTTATACTTCCAAGTAATTGGAGTTATATTCTAAAATCCATAAGAGAGTTGGAGTAGCTAATTCGAGTCATGTTTTCCTGAGTTTTGGCCAAACAAAAAAATTGAGTAATCTGAGTCCAAGTTAATTATATGTAATATTGGAGTTGTTTAATCCTTTAGAACTTATTACCTTCAGTCAGAGATATGAAACTGGTTTGTCTTTTAGTTTGGTCTTAAATATAGGACTTCAATATATTTTGTCTTTAATATTTATTCGTTTTTCCTAAAAAAGTCCTTATAATAATTATACATGTCAAATATTTTATCAAATGATAATTTTAGTTAATACATATGATTAACAATAATATTTTAGAAAAGACAACACATATTTATTACTAATAATTAACTTAACTAATTTGTTTAATATTTAAAAACTAATTATTTAACTCTTATATTAAGGACCCGAAGTAGCAGTTATAATTGCTTATCAACTTATTACTTCCAAGAAAAGAAGTTTGTTTTGTAAGTAACAATGGCATCTTCTCATGGCAACTTTGTTGACAATCATGGTTTCTCTTGGGGCACTGTGACATACCTCAAGCTGACAAGAGAGTGAAGATGGGCTCCGACTTGTTGCTCTCTTTTTTTTTCCTATTAAAAATGGGGCATTCTGGTTTTGCAATCCCTAATTTGTGCATTTAACCTCATATGGAATTTGTTAAATTTATAGGCCTGAATTATAATTATCATAATTCAGCTGCCTTTAAAAGAATTTTCCCAAGGTTTAAAATAAATTTGAACTAAAAATTTGAGATAAAATAACAAATTTGTACCATTTTGTACCGGCGAAGCTTGTGTTATTAATGGTATGTTTATTCAGTGGCAACAATATAAATTTTGATGCTTTTTATTTTGGTCTTTTCATTTTATAAAATGTCTTTTCAAATGCAGTTAGTTAAAAAAATAAAAATATTGAAATTTTAAATATTTTAAGCTATTCTTAAAGGATAAGATATTAAAGTTAATTTTCAAAATAACAATTATTGTAAATAGATATCATTTGATAGTATTATGATGAGAAGATTAAAAGATATTTTATAAAATTAAAAGACCAAATTAAAGCTTATAAATTTAGAACAAAAAATGTTCTTCTGTCCTTTTTATTACCCAATTTTACAGGGAAAATTTTATTAAAGGACTACTAATGTGATTTTATTTCATCAGTCTCCAAAATTCTAAAATTTTACTACACTACTAAGGAACTAAATGAAATTTTGTTTTGACGGTAAATGACCAAAATTCCATTTCTATATTTGGGCACTTGTAATTTTTTTCCCGCATGAAACACTTTATATCCAGACGTACCTCACTTTAACTTGAAGGATTTATCAGGAATTCAGACTAATCCGGATTAAGTTAGGTAAGATCATAAAAGTGACAAAGCTCTACCATCAAGTATTTGATATTGCTACATTCGAGCTTGACCTCCATTAAATTTTGTTATTATTTGCTGTTAAAATGCATGTGTATATTTATAATATTAGTTTATCAACCCTTGTTTTTTTTTTTGTAACAAAACGTAAAATTCTGAGAAGTGGGAATTGTAAACTTCCTTTTGCACACTTTTAAAATTTTAGTAAAACTTGATTCTGTAAGTTGTGAGCTGTAAATTTTTACATATACATTTATCTTTTGTTATTATTAATTACTGAAATGTGTATATATACTTATAAAAAATGGACGCAGAGATATTCCTATTTAAAAAAAAAAAGAACGAAGGAATTTTGATAATTTATCATAAAAAAACATAATTAAATTTTGATCTTTTAGTGATACAGTGAAATTTCAAAATTTTTTTGACACTGAATTGAAACAAGTTCCTTATAAACGTATTTGTTGAAAGGTTTTAACTTTTAACGTTTCTAATGTGATAGGGACTAATCTCAAATTTAAAATAATTTGAAGATACTTTAATTTATATTCTTTAAAAAAAAAAAAATCTTTCAATGACATTCTCCCAATTCTGTTTTACCGAAAATAATAATATGATCATGATGTCAGCAATTTATAGTGCTTTCCTTACGAAGCAATGCTGGGAGTTGAAACTGCGGGTCTCTTTCTCTCATCATGCACCGGGCGAAGCATGAGAAAACTCAATAATTCTGCTTCTCTTCAATCCACATATCTGATCTTTCCTTCACTCTGAATCCATAGGACCACTTTCTAGGGTTTTGAATAAGGGATAAAGTTAAAGCTGATCATTTCTGGTTATACACACATTCCTATGCACATCCAATCACCAAGACTCACTTCACTTCTTCCTTTTATCTGAGAATACAGAGGAGGGATTGCTTGCTTCCAAGCAGTCTCTGGGACTTTCCTGAGCTCTGTCCTCCTCTTGGGCCAGTGTGAAAACGCGATCCTAAGGGGAGGAATTGTTTGGATGTAGCAAGAGCTTTGCGGGGAGAGATGTTGGCGATGGAGAAGGATTTTGATTCCAAGTTGAAGATTCAGAGTAGTCCGTCTGGTGATGGGAGTGTCCAGAGATCTCAGAGCATTCCTTTCCGGGCTCCTCAGGAGAATTGCTCCATCCAGGATTTTGAATTGGGAAAGATCTACGGCGTTGGTTCTTATTCTAAGGTCCCATATGCTGTAGTTTATGCATTCTTTTTGCCTGGTTGTTTCGGTGTTGCTTTGTTTTTGTCTTTTCCTTTTTTTTTTTTTTTTAGGGGGGGGTAATGCTTGATGCATGCATATATTCTCTGGTTGATATTTGACTTTTCTATTTTTTTTTTTTTGTAAAAAAAAATGAGTCGATTAATCTGTTCCGTTCTTTTGGTTACCATCATCAATGGGGATGATGCTGTAGAGATCATTATGCAACAGTGTCATCCTTGTTGCTATATAACGCGTGAAACATCGTCTGATATCTTGTAGTGGATTGCATATACTTATAAGGTATATCAACTGCCACTCCCGAATCAGTGGTTGCTGAAAATGTAAAATGGCTCGCACTCCCACTTTTTAAGCTAAAAAAGGAAAACTACGTTGTGCTCCATTCATTTTTAATTTAAAATTCTGTGAAGAATATTGGTTTCTTGATAATATGTTGTAGGGGTTTCCTTCCTTTTTCTGTACTTCGGAAGAGAAATCGAGCCTCAACTTAACTTTTGAAGTGGTAAATAGAAAATTTCATTATTTGGTTTCTCCTGGTGAATTCATAGCAAGTTACATAGTGTTACCCATAAGAATCGCTAAACATTTGAGACTTGCTGTTACGTGGCACAAGAGTAACTAGTGTAACAGACTTAAGTGAATAGTTAGTTAGACTCAAACTGAGTACATTAGATTCTAACTAGATGTGGGAATGATATAAGTAACCCACGTGTACCATTTGTTGAGCTCTTGAATAAAGAAATCAGTTCCTCTGTGTGTGTGTGTGTGTGTGTGTGTACCAATTGCCATTTCAGTTTAGGTTAAAAGAGAAGCGAATGATAGGAAGTAGAAAATGAGATGCCTGGCTTGACTGTACCTGGTAAACTCTAGACGTCTATTAATCTGATAAATCATTATCTTGGAAATTATGGCTAGGTTGGTAGTTCTTTTGCCAGAAAAAGCTCTTTTTTCCAGCTCACTTGGAATTTCTTGCTGAATGTGAATCAGTTTAATGTGAACCTATGTAATTGTTATCCAATTTGAGTCTGCGTCATCTTAAAAAAATTCTAGTGTTTTTAATCTCTGCCTCTGCCTCTCTTGACTTATCTCCTCTGGCAGATAGTTATCTTTTATCCATTTTGTTTGAATTTCTTTGCTGGGCACCTATCCCATTTGTCAACAACACCTATATGCTTGAAGCAAAATCCTCTTACCATTTTTGCCATTTGACTTTCTAGATTATTTCAGAAATTTTAGTTTATTTAGTTTTTCTTGTCTAATTATCTCCAAATATCGTTGTCATTGTGTTCAAAGGTTGTGAGGGCAAAGAAGAAGGACACGGGATCTGTTTATGCATTGAAGATCATGGACAAAAAATTTATCACCAAGGAGAACAAAACAGCTTATGTGAAGTTGGAACGGTTAGTGCTTGATAAATTGGATCATCCTGGCATTGTGCGGCTGTTTTTCACATTTCAAGACACTTTTTCTCTGTGTACGTATATTGTTATGGAGTTTCACTTTATACTGTACACTTTTTCTACCTGATTCTTCTTGTGTCCTCTTTTTTCTTTCAATTTTCTTTTTGATTTTTGTCCTCTCGTTGCTTAGTTTGGTCTCCTATTTGATGTTGTTATCTTTTTCTTCCTTTTTTGTGTACTTTTTCAATGGTGAAGACATGGCACTTGAATCCTGTGAAGGCGGAGAACTTTTTGATCAAATAACCAGGGTAAGCTAACATAAGACTCAAGGCATGCACTCAATGTGTTGGGTTATGAATTATGAGTAAATCATTTGAGAAATTATTTTGAAGCCTGTGCTGAAGGTGTTTTGGTCGGCCAGATGTAGTTTTAGTCCTGTCTAAGCTAGATCTTTTTATGGAAACATCAAAACTATGATGCATGCATTGATTTTGTTATTTTTAAATTAACTTTTAATACAAAAGGAAACTAAAAACTGCTTGAAGATGGCATTTTCAAAATTTAGAATATTTCTTATATGATTTGTTAGTTTGAGGATAATTTAAACTGTGGTAATGACGAGGGTGTAAAATATAGTTAGTCGGTTCTGATTCACACTAAACTTATTATTTATAGGATAAGCAATGCTATAAAGACTCAGAAATATAAAATAATCAGAGAATAATACTCCTCTTAATTATAAAATGAAGTAAACCTAATCTCCCTACGAATAGGCAATCATATTTACAAACATAAACAATTACAATCAGGACTCCCCGCTAGTTGGATCATGCAGGCCATATGTGCCATTTTTGTTGCAAATGTTGAAAATTTAGGGTCTTAATGCTTTCGTGAGAATATCAACTACTTGATCGTGGGAGTAGACATGGCTAGCGGTGATGATCACATGTAGGATATTATCTCTCATAAAAGATAACTAATATCAATGTTTGGTCGTTGTGAAAGACAGGATTTGAGACAATCTATAGGTATAGCATGATTGCCGCATCCGAATGTCATTATGTTGAGTGTCCAAATTGAAATGAGTAATTTTTCAATCACAAATTCATATGTTGTTAATGCTATGGCATGGTATTTAGCCTCAGCACCATATCCTGCCACAACGTCTTGTTTCTTGCTTTTTGGGAGACAAGACTTTCCCCAAGTAAGATGCAGTGCGTGTATTGTATTCTCCTAATATATTTTTTCACCCTACTTGGGTGTGTTTGTGATTCCTATATACCTTTTCTCAAGTACCCCTTTGATATGCCCAAGGATACACAAAAAATGCATCCCAGTAACAAAGGGAAACAATTACAAGTATTAAGGCTAATTGTCAGCCATTGGCATCAAGTGGCATCAATTTGTTTACCTTGTATACATAACATTATAATTATGTAATCACATTACACAATTGAGTATGTGTAATATACCAATAAATTCTAAAGATACTAAAAGATCCCATATAATTCTATTCCTAGAAAATAGGGATATATATGCAGTGATATATATATGATAAATAATAATTATGATTATGCGATCATAACAATAAAGAACTGCCTATTTTTCTCTATACTATTCGCATTAAGCTTACATTATTAGTGCGAATTTCGTAATAAATATGAGCAGAACCAAAGTTGGTGTTCGGCCTAAGCATCTACTGGAGAAAGTTATGATTTCTCCATGAAAATATTTGGTACCAGTTGGGCCTTTC